CAACCCAGTTATCTTTTCTTTGTTTCTAACGATTTTTTTTATTTGCTTGGGGGGTGGTTCTAATTACTTTGCTTATTATTTTAGAAGGCATCTTTCACTATCCCAATGCACCTTGGGGTTTCAATATCGCAGTCCCCGTCCTCTCTTAAAATACTTTCCCAGATATTTCAATTGTTGTACTTGACTACTGTTTAAAATACGGCCCTCGGTGCAAATGGCACACCGCTGTCTCATTAACTAGAACTTATGGACATATCGACATCTCCGTATTTGAATTGTACTTTTGTTGATATTGGTATCTCCAAACTGTAATTTACATGTGAGGTTTTCTATTAGGTTGGTGCAAAAATAATGACGTAATAATGTCGTTTTTTTTTTTGACGTACGTTTTCTCAACGACATTCTTACGTCATTATTTTTGCACCAACCTAATATATTACTAACGACCATGTATTCAATCCTCTTGCATTTAATGTTTACTCCTTTCTTCTTGCTTTCCTTTCATATACTCTCCTTTCAGTGTCTGCAATCAACACAGGGCAATCTGTATATCTCATGTTGTCCGGATTATTACTGCCAATAATACATCCTTGTAGGATTTCTTGTTCTCTTAGAATAGCATTATATAGGTTGAATAAATCCGCTGAGAGACACATCATAGCATTACATCATTTTCTATCTGCATGTGTTATGTTGTCAATATCGTTGCCGCCAATAATGAATTATGTTAGGATTTCAATGGTCTATTTCATTCAAGCGTCCTATATACTTCTTGTTGAGCAATTCGAAGCTGAATCGTTTTCGCTTGAGAACCGACAGCCTGTGTGTACATTTGAATAGAAATTTTGATTTTAAACCAAATCACATAGCAGATATCTTGCCTGTAACTCACGCTTTATTTGCGCAGAAAAGAAACAGAGGAAACCTTTTCTCTTGTCAAAACAGTTTTTCCACTGTTACATACATTCACGAAAACCTTGTCATAATATCCATACATGAAAATCAAGATTACCAGAATGCAAGGAACCGATTACAGTCAACCTGACCTGCCGCCGATACGAAAGGCCCAGACGGCAATATTCTCTAACGGACGGCGAGCGATGTTCTGATAGAATAGTTGCGTTTGGAAGATCTAACTTCAGCAGAATCAGGGATACGCCTTTTCCCACTGTTTGGATTTGCGATGGTTCTGTTTAGAAATAAAGAATTCCTAATATTAACTTGATAACAGACTCAAAGCATTAGACTAATGGTGCTAAGAATCCGACATCAAATGTCAAACAGACGTTTCCTTTAATTTAAAAATAAATGACATTTCTTGATTTAATAAGGAACGAATAAAAACAGACTGCTAATATTTTTTTTCTTTTTAATAATTTTCAGCCATTACAAGACCCAAGAGTCATTCAACGTAGGAAAACACTGGACGAGGTGTGTGATATGGTCGTAAAAGTAAGAAGTAGGAAGTGAAGACGAAGATGATATGGTAGATAAATAAAGATAAACCCTAGACTTGAAGAGGTCAGGATTGTTGAGTTCGAGATTTGGGGATTGGGGGGCGGTGTTATCTTCATACGGGAGTCTGTTGCAAAAAGTAGGTGTTCCTGAGAAAAAAATCTTTTGGAGTAGAATTGTTTTCTTAATCAATTCACCCCAGCTGAGATTAAACGAGACCGAGAAGGCTTTAGAAGGAACCGGAAATTTTTATCGTAAATAGGAAGCAAGGGATAAACCTCTACTCCTGTACAAAAGATGGCGGAGGAGTGTAAACGGGACGCTAGACAAACCAATCTACTCCTATTGAGGGAAATAAATAAATAAATAGTAAATTAAATTTTACAGTTTAGCTAGAGACGTTAGAAGTACCGAGTTGAAGAACACTTTAGAATGAACCAATGCGAAACAAGAAAAAGGGGAAAACGTCTACACCTTTTCACTAGAGCGGGGAGAAGTGTGAACCGGTTGATAGGTGACCCTATCTAGTCCTTTTGAGAAGAAAAAACGGAACAGTAAGTTAAATTTCACAGTTTAGGCGGAGACGTTAGAAGTATCGAGCTGAAGTAGACGTTAGAAGTGACCGGGGACCCAAATCCGGAAGAGGAAATGCGGGATAAACATCAACATCAGTTCAGTAGACCCAGGGAGGGGTTTGAACTGGACGATAGGCGAACCTATCTACTCCTTCTTGCCAAATGAATAACCAGGGATCGAGGGTAAATCAACCCTGGGGCTGCGGCAAGGCAAGTCTTGACTTGAAAGTTCTGCGTGGGTAGCACTAAAGAATGGAACTTATACTGTGAATGTAGCGATAAGCTTGCCAGGTCCCATCTGTTGGAAATAGTTTGACGACTTTATATTCAAGCGAAAGGGGCTGTAGGGTAGGAAATAACTCACCCACCAGAAAACTGCCTAGTCATCTTCGATAATAATAAATAATAATAATAAATTATAATAATTAATAATAAATAAATAATAATACATTTAATAAATAATAATTAAATAAGAATAAATAAATAAATGATAATTAAATAATAATAAACGATTATTAACAAATTATAATAAGTAATTACAATGAAATAATACTACATAAATAATAATAATAATAATAAATAATAATAATAATAGATAAATAAATAATAATAAATAATAAAGAAATAAATGGCAATAGATAATGATAACAAATAATATTAAATGATAAACAATAATAAATAATTTAATAAGAAATAGTAATAAATAATAACTAAATAGTAAATAAATATTAATAAATAAATAATAATGAATAAATAATAATAAATAATGAAAATAAATAATAATAAATATTAATAAGTGATAATAAATAATAATAATAAAATAATAATGACTAAATACTAACTAATAATAGTAAATAAGTAATAATAAATAAAAATATAATAATACATAATAATAAATAAATTATAAATAATTACAATAAAATAATAATTAATAAATAATAAAATATTTAATAATAGTAAATACATAATAATAAATAAATATTAATAAATAATAAAAAATAATAATACATAATAATAAATAAATTATAAATAATTACATTAAAATGATAATAAATAAATATTAATAATAATTAACAATATTAAATAAATAATAAAAATAATAAATAAATAATAATAAATAATAAATGTATAATAAAATAATAATACATGATAATAAATAAATTATAAATAATAACATTAAAATGATAATGAATAAATATTAATAATAATTAACAATATTAAATAAATAATAAAAAATAATAAATAAATAATAATAAATAATAAATATATAATAAAAAAAAATAATAATATGATAATAAATAAATTATAAATAATTACATTAAAATGATAATGAATAAATAATATTAATAAATAATAGTAAATAAAGAATAATAAATAATGAATAAATAATAAAAAATTATAATACATGAATAAATTATAAATAATTACAATAAAATAATAATGAATAAATAATAATATTAAATAAATAACAATAAATAATAAATAAAAAATAATAAATAATTATAATAAAATAATAATGAATAAATAATAATAATAAAGAATAATTATGAAGAATAACTTAATAATAATAGTAAATAAATAAAATTCAGCATTTTCAGGAGTTTAGGCATCCCTAAGTCTTTGCATCTTCTCAGCAATGAAAACTCTCTTGGCTGCCGTTTGATCTTGGTTCTTATATGCCCGGGACTTTCTTTTTCTTCGATGCAGCCTTGGCTGTTTAGATTCCAATCTAGTCCTCTGTTGGCAGAGATTTCTTTTTGCGATGCATGCTGCTGCCGTGTGTGATAGGCAACAAAATACTACAGAAGAACTAAAAATTCATCGCTGCATTTAAGTATTTAATTAATGTTTAAGCTTACTTTTTAAAAGTTCAAAGATAATTCTTCTGCTGCCACTTAATTTAAAGACAATTAAATGGACGTAGGTCCTTACTTTCCGTAGATACAATTATTTTTATTTCATGGCTGACTTTCGCTGGATTTCGCAATTAATTTCCAGTATTCCCAAATTTATTTCCAATTTATAAAAAATTGTTATCGTACAAAAAAATTTGTCGTAAAAACATGGCGTAAAAAATCGCCGAAAACAATCGCAGTAATGAAAACTTGAGAATCCAAAATTTCAAAATTGAAGGTCTGGATCCGACCCGGAATGATTTTAATTTGCTCACAGAGTTGGCATGATTCCAAAATGGTATGATATGTTGGGCTACGGCCTCTAGAAGTAAAGTTTAATAGGTGTGACACACTGACATTCGCATTTATTTAAATAGATTAGGACAAGAGAGTTGAAATTTCTAAGGCGCATAATGAGGAATGTATGTTTGGAAAATTTCATAGACATAATGAGGCTAAGAAAAAATAGAGAAAAGCAACGAACAAACCTATCTGGTGAATTTGAGGGAATGAATGGCGCGGCAGGATTGGGGAGTGATAACACAAAGATGAGATTTATTAAAAGTTTAAAAGGACAGGAAATTGTGGAGAGACAGAGTCGCCAACGTCCTGAAGGGAGACTTAACATATAAAAAAAAGAGAAAAGATAATCGATAAATATGTAGACATTCCTAAATGAATGGAATGGAAGTGGGAAGATTGTGTTGCCCCATTCTTTGAAACTGATAGTCCTTTCTATTTATTTTTAATTCATTTAATTTTATAATGAAATCTTGTGCTAGCAGCGACATTAAAAAAGAAATGTGGGAAGAAAATTAAAGAAGCCGATACACGAACAATTAATCATGCGAGATGAAGATTTTGTTGCTACATTCTTTCAAACGGATAGATATTACTATTTATTTTTAATTATCCTTTCATTTTTTTTTTTTCACTGAAATCCTGTGGTAGTTGGTAAAGGAAAAAAAGTGTGAAGAAACGGAAAGAAGCTGATACACAAATAATTTCCATCATGCATTGCTACGGGGTCCTTACTTCCTGTCATTAATTTTCCAGATTTCGTTTGATAGTGACATTAGAAAGATAAAATGGACGTACAAAAATGCACAGAAATGAAAGGAAAAGAAGGAAGGAGGGAAGTAAAAAAAGAAAGAAAGAAAGAAAGAGAGAAAAAAGAAAGAATCTTTTTAAAGAAAGTATTCCTTTCAAAGATAAAACAAGAGCTTCAGTCATGATAGAAGATCACTGAAAATACCACCTTAACTGAAACACTTCTGTTTCAGTTTGGTATGAATACGTATTCGCAATACACACATGCATACACACACACACACACACACACACATATATATATATATATATATATATATAGTGATGTCAACGAACACTTGTTGCCACATTTTTTTTGTCAACGAATAATCGTTGTTACTTTCGTAATGCTCGCTGTAGTAGAGACTTTGTAATCGCAGATACAACTATAGTAACGCCGTTGAACAATACTGGTGTCAGACGCCTTCGAATATCACTCGCACTAATAGTACTTGCTCGATAATACTCGCTTTAATAGTAACTCGTATAGTGATCCGAATAAAGAAATAGTATAGTGAATTAAATAGAGATCCGTATTATAATAGAGGATAGGGTAGAAATGGTGATCCGAATAGAAATAGGATACAAATGCGATCAATTAGACGTCACGCGACTTCCTACTTATGCGTTTCAATAATGGGATCGCCTTTGTTTGCTCACTGGCGATCTATGTTCAAACTCATGGGTCGGTTGCGACACTTTATTTCTATATAACAATATATATAATTGAGATAAAAAAAAGTACAGATTTGGCCTATGCTATATTTATAGACGAAAGTGCTCAATATCAGGAATAGAGCGTGTGTAAATATAAAACATAAAAATGAACACTGAACGGTGACAATCGTTCATGCTTGAACGCAGTCTTCAGGGCATTTTAAGGCTTACAAGAATTACGTTAAGGGGTATTTTATATGGTTAAGAGGTGAAGGTAACGGTTGACTCTAGACTTGAAAGATTTTAGTGATCGGGAAACATCCTGTAGGCAGTCTATACCATAGGGTAGTGGTTTGCTGGAAGAAGCTTTTTGAGTCAAACTTACTTCTCGTCCATGGAATACGGAGGGAATGTGGGTGGTTTACTACGAGGTAAGCGGTCCTAGCCGTGATCGTTAGAACAACCAGAAGATGCGGTTCGCCTGAGCACTTTCTATGGAAGCAGCGACAGAGCAAAGAGAGACTTGCAACATTCCGCTTGTGAAAAGGAGGGTGGAAGATAATTCTAAAATTTACTATTATTATTTATTATTTAGTCATTATTATTTTATTATTATTTAATATCATTTATTAATTAATATTAATTATTCATTTATTAATTAATATTTATTATTATTTATTTTCATTGTTTATTATTATTTATTCATTATCATTTATTTATTAATATTTATTTACTATTTAATTATTATTTGAACTGAAAAAGTCTGGGTAGCTCCTGTTCAAGTATGGCAACAGTACTCCATTATCGACCTGATCTCTTTCGCGTTACAAAGGACTTCGTGTTCAATCTGAGGCGCTATGGGAAGAGAACACGGGCATAAGGTCACCATCACTAGTGATCACTCCAAACACCATTATGTTGACTGATTATATCATCTAACTCTTTCCGAATCCTCTGCACTGTCCTCAGATAGACACCCCCAAAATCTGAAATGTTTGTATTGGAGTTTCCTGAACGAATGCCAAGCAGTACTATATGTCGTTTCCAAAATTATGGCGGAGCGATTTCCATAATGGTGCACTTTTTTCATACAGAAAACGCGTAACTGATCCTACTCATTCTATACTGTGCAGTAGATAAAATTAAAATCAAACAACGCTCATGCGGGATATTAATAATATAAAAGGCGACAATTATACATACATACAAACACACACACACACACACACACACACACACACATATATATATATATATATATATATATATATATATATTTTCATCTTTCATATATATATATATATATATATATATATATAAATATATATATATATATATGTATATATATATATATATATATATATATATATATATATATATATATATATTATAAATTAATTGATTTAAAATATGGTTTTTTACGCTACACAGTTCTAAACATGTTTCAAAAATGGAAGCTAAAAGCTCCGAATTTAATTTTGTAATTAAATTAAAGACATTAGTTTCATTTCATCCTCAAGCGAATTTTGGAGTAACTTTTAAAATTACTGGATTTTAAAGACACAGCTAAAATCATAATTCACGTTTCCAAAGTTACAGATAAATCCACTTCCACTAGAAAAGGTGTGTCTGGGGTTCATTATCGCTGTATTTTGATGTATCAGGTATTAGTTACGTTTTGGTAGGTGTAGGGATGTATTTTGCAATGAAATCTAACATCCGTTAAATGCATGTCGTCTGGATTTTTAAAAAATTTTATTGTTAACGGCAAAAATTCTTACGGCCTTTTTTTCTATTTGTATATTTAAAGATTTTTGGGGGCGGGGGTATTTAGGTTAGAATACGCTTTATTTAACAACGATTTGAAATATTTTCACTTTTAATTTATAATTTTTAATATACTATATTTCTTTCAAGAACAATTAAATGTATTAGAATCCCTTACGGTATGTAGAATTATTTTCACATCAAGTATAAGTATGTATATTATTAGGTTACAAATTTTTTTTTTATATTTAAATATTATTTAAGTAAAATTTATGACAATGACGGCAAAATAGCTACTTAATTTCACTAATTTAGTAAACTTTTATTTTTTATATAAACCTAGTAATATATTGTTTCTCATGTTTCTCATATCTTACTGTTCTTTCTTTATATATATATATATATATATATATATATATATATATATATATATATATATATATAATAAAAATTTCTTAGTCGGGTCAACATTTGTTTTTTTTTTTTGAAAGAAAAGAAAAATATACCAAGTAAAAAATAATGAATGAAAAAGAAATAACGAAGTAGAAAGAAAAAAAATACTAAATGCGAACAAAGAAAGAATTATAAAGCAGCAGCAAGAAACATTAATGACTGAGAAAGAAAGTCAAGTCCGAAAGAGGTAGACAAGCAGTTAATAAATATATTTTAATTAGCGCCCAGTCATATTTCATTTTGCGTCAAGTATTTTAGGCTCATTTTACATATAAGGTTTTATATGAATTAAATGTCATAATATATATATATAGGCATTTTTATGTTTATACATTCTTTTTATAGATATAAATATTTAAGTAGATGCTCTGTTTATAATAAACAATATTTACCGGCCTGTATGTCCGAGAAATTTTCACAGAAACCCTAACCTATACGGAACACGTCATTTAGATTGACGTGCCTTTAACCGATTTGGCCACAGAGGAGCGTTCGGTTAGTAAAGCCGAATTTACTGTATTTGAACTTCAATCTTCTATGAATCTCTCACGTACATTCATATCTGCTCATGGCGTATCAAATGTAAACAAATGACGTCACACGTTTTGAAATGGACAAAATCTGACAATTATTTGAAGACATAATTTAGCTTGACGTGCCTTTAACCGATTTGGCCACAGAAGAGCGTTCAGTTAGCAAGGTCGAATTTACTGTATTTGAAATTCAATCTTCTATGAATCTCTAACGTACATTCATATCTGCTCATGGTGAATCAAATGTAAACAAATGACGTCACACGTTTTGAAATGGACAAAATCTGACAATTATTTGAAGACATAATTTAGCTTGACGTGCCTTTAACCGATTTGGCCACAGAGGAGCGTTCGGTTAGCAAGGTCGAATTTACTGTATTTGAACTTCAATCTTCTATGAATCTCTCACGTACATTCATATCTGCTCATGGCGTATCAAATGTAAACAAATGACGTCACATATTTTGAAATGGACAAAATTATTTGAAGACATAATTTAGCTTGACGTGCCTTTAACCGATTTGGCCACAGAGGAGCGTTCGGTTAGCAAGGTCGAATTTACTGTATTTGAAATTCAATCTTCTATGAATATCTCACGTACATTCATATCTGCTCATGGTGAATCAAATGTAAACAAATTACGTCACACGTTTTGAAATGGACAAAATCTGACAATTATTTAAAGACATAATAAAATAGTAATAGTTTATTGATACATATCTTACTAATTAAACCATAACTGGGGAGAAAATGAGGAGTATTCATATATTTCCGAGTGATATTTGAGCATAATGAATCTGATGAAGCCAGCTATAATTGAAACACGGCTCTCCGATTAACGATTCGGAGCCATTATCCATTACAATAATCCACACATCCAATCTTACAGCACCGGGTATTCCCCAGCGGTTATCCATCTACTGCTTAACTTCGGTGATCATAAGAGAACAGGTGTTTCAACGTGATGTCGCCGTCACAGAGCAGATGTACCAGCAAGTTAGAGCAGAGCAGACGGAGTCTGGTACTTTCTAGAGCTATACAAGCACCGATCATTTTTACAGAATCTTTAGCGGTTTCTTTGTATATATGAGTTCCACGTGAGATCTTTGGTCTCAGTAGATATTCAGGAGACACGGTGGAGTAATGGATAGCGGCTCGCATTGAGGAATCGGAGAGCCGAGTTCGAATTCCAGTCAAATTCATTACTTTCTGTTACATGCTAATACTCTTTGGAAAGGTATGAATCCTCTTCTTCTCCCCTCAGCTATTGGTAAAAAAAAAAACAGGACAGATTGGGTTCTATAGCCTTGAATAGCAACTGGTCTACCGCAGAAAGAAATGGCAACCTACTGCGGGGAAAAAAAACATTCGTCCAAAATTATAATACCTGTTTAATAATTTGTAGCATATCCGTTAACACATAATATAATATATAATCGATTCGACTGGAATTCGGAATCGAAGAGACGAGTTCGAATTCCAGTCGAATCCATTACATTCACTTACATGCTAATGCCCTTGAGAAAGGTATGAATCCTCTTCTTCTTCTCCCACCCATCAATAGATGAATAGCAGGAAGACCGGGCAGCTCGGATTGAGGAATCGGAGAGCCGAGTTCGAATTCCAGTCGAATCCATTACATTCACTTAGGTGCTAATACCATTGGGAAAGGTATGAACCCTCTTCTTTTCCCCACAGCCATG